GTCTGAAAAGTTTAATAAAAACTTCATTTGGTCCTTGAGACGTCCATATGTAGAAAATAGAATTCTAGTTTATCCGAACGTAATGCCTTTTTGTGCAAGGTCCTTTTTAATTTTCAAAATTTGCGCGTTTTAAAGTGCAAACCTCTGTCCAGACATCTAACCAAGTGCAAAGTGTCTTGCCCAAACGTCTGAAGAGCGCGGAGATGATGGCGGAGATGATGGATGATGGCGGAGATGGCGGAGATGATGTCGACGAATTGGGGTTGGATCTGTTGTCGAAGGGAGAAAGATGAAGTTCATTTTTTTTAATGTCTACGAATTGGGGTTGGGTCTGTTGTTGAGGTGAAAACTTTGAGTTGTGAAATTTTCTTTAGGCTCCCTAATTTTGTGATGATACATACGTTTAACAAATAGAAAGCATATCTATTTTTATGGACAATTAGGGTTCCGGGTAAAGAGATGGTTTCGCAAGGTTTCTAAATTTGCCGCCCGTTGGATGGGAAGGAAAAAAAACTTGCAGAACGGTGGAATGATTTGCTTGCAAGTATTTTCCTTGGAAAAGAGTTTTGGGGAGCAGTGGGGAGTATGACTTCCCCACAATGATTAATGTGACTTCATTCGAATGCTAATCTCATATTAGGTATTGAATGCTTGCTTGTTACGAGAGAGGTACGAGTCCTTGGTCAAATTACATATAACTACTGTTATACTTGTCTTAAATCCTGTTTTTTTTTCTCAGTTTTAATTAAGAAAAATTATAACTAATTTTAAGTGATTAGGTAACTAAATTTCAACTTTTCTAGTTTCTACGTAGAAATTGCAAAGAAATTATTTAGAGTAATATATGAATTCAAATTTTTTTAATCAAAATAATTCATATTGTTGCATACCAAAGTAATAAAGACTAAGATTCCAAATAAACTGACCAAGCACAAAGAACTTGAACCCAGTGGAATCAAAAATTACAATTGGCAACGTAGAAAGAAATGAACTTGCAAGAAAGATGGCCTCAAATCCTAGAAAAATTGCACCTCGAAGTTGCATTTTCATTGTATCGGCCTTCCCCAGGCTCATTCCATTATTAACCAACTGAACTGCTATCATAAACTGGATAGAAACCAAATTACAGAAGAGAATTTTTGAAGCAGAGACGCTCACATAATCATTTTCCGCCCATGAGAAGAGAACGGCCGCTAACAAACACATTTGTACAAACAATTAGGGTTTACATGAATTTGTCACAACCACAGAATCATAAAAGAGAGGGGAAGCGATGAAAAGCGCATCATCCCAACCTAAAGTTGGTCGATTTAGCAATTGAAGTCAACGCGTGCCCTTGTCAAGGTAAAGAATAGCCATCGATTTAACAATTGAATGTCAACGCGTGCCCTTGTCAAGGTAAAGAATAGCCATCGATTTAGCAATTGAATGTCAATGCGTGCCCTTGTCAAGGTAAAGAATAGCCATCCTCGAGACATTCTGTTTTCATATCTGCCATTATGCGCTGAAGCTCAGAAGGATGACCGGTAACAATGGCATCAACATGTTCAAACAACAACCTCTGCATGGAGCCAGCATCATCAACTGTCCAAGCATAGACTTTCTTGCCCTTCCTATTTGCACCAGATACTCCGTTAAGCAGTGTTTGCACAATGCTTTGTGTAAATTCTTGTTAGGGTTAAATTGCAGATACACCTCCTATACTATGACGGCGAAGCCACCTACACCCCATAATTTATTTGCCATTACACCCTCTGAACTTCAGACAATATTATTACCCCAGTTAGATTGAGATGTACGTGGGAATCACATGGCATAAATTAGCTTCTGCCCTCAGCTTAACTTAAAAAAAGACTAATTTACCCTCTAATTGAGGGGGAAACTAACACCGTCAGAGATATATAAAGAGGGTATAAGTGCTAATAAAAAACTTTAGAGGGTAGTACGAGGGTGTATATGCAAATTAACCCTTCCTATTAAGACGAGTAGGGGGGAAAAGCAATCTCACCCATGCAAGATTCTCACAAGCCTCTCATCAATCAAAGGATGGTAAACACCAGCAACTGTGGCATCTTTCATCCTCAGTAACTTGCTCGTTTTACCAGTCGAAAAATCCTTCAAGACAATGTATCCCACCTGCATTAGCAGCAGCGGCAGTAACAGATGTGATCAAATTAAGGCACGAGGTCCAAAGGAAGGGAGAGTTGCAAATAGAGATATCTTACAGGAACATCTGATGTTAATTTGATCACATCCCTTCCTAGTATGTCACTCTTGGCCCAAATTAAACAATTCTTGCAATTTGTTCTCTGAACCTGCCAGTTTCATCCACATTGATAAAGTTTCAGGCATACTGTCAGAACCAATTTCCTGATGATAATAATTTAATTTTAGTTT